CTATATAAGATATTAGTATATGCTGCTTCCGTAAAGATTACAGCCTTGGAAGCCCAGTGGGGCAGTTCTCTGCTTTTCTCTCTAGGCATCTTGAGAAAGAAAGATGGGAGAAAGTAGCCAGAGTAAGAGTTGGATATTATGAAAGCCTCATCCCTATAGTCTGTAATGGGAACGTTGGACTCCTGGTGAGGGGACAACCTTGTGCTTATAGCTCCGAAACTAGAGGCACTTGGCAGTGTGGTGCTTAAGTGGTATGTGAGAATTAAAGTCACTGAAAATGTCTGTTCACTCTGGGCATTTCCACTGGCACCTCTGTCAAAAGCCTTTTGAAATGTTAACTTAAAAGTCTGTCTTCCCTTTGGCATATCTCTTAAGATGCAGTTAGTCTTGGGTTGGTCACAAAGTTTTCAGAGATTTAACATAGGCATTAATAATCATTTGACAGTCAAGCGCAAGTGTATTTTGACTGGGTATAAATAGTTTCAAAAGGTCCAGAGAGCCCCAGAGGCACAAGACAAAGCTCTTTGAGTTCGGCCCTTGAGCTTTGCTTCTCTGCCTGCTGCATTGACTGTGCGGCTCGTCCTTTCTCCAATGCCCCATTTTCCTCTGGAATTTTTTCTACTTTTATACGGCTTTGGCTAGTTTATTAACTCAACTCAGCCCTTAATTTGGACCTTTTCTGATTGTATGCTTGCTATTTTCTTTTCCTCCCAAATTTATCCTGTTTGTATGAAAGCTGATCCTATTGTCATGTTTTCCTTTCAATGTATGACATTCTGTGAAGTGACTGAGGTTTACCCTTTGGCTTTGAGAAAACTAAGTTCCTAGGACTAAAGTGTTTTAGGTACAGACCTTTTAAACTCCTTGGTCCTTGGGTTCATGAACTCCCCTGAAGTGTTTCTTCTATCTGCATTCACAGTCATAGACCCTCGGGTGATTCCCCTGCACGGCCGTGGGCCCTGGGGTATCCGCCTGCACGGCCGTGGGCCCTCGGGTGGTTCCCCTGCACGGCCGTGGGCCCTGGGGTATCCGCCTGCGCGGCCGTGGGCCCTCGGGTATCCGCCTGCACGGCCGTGGGCCCTCGGGTGGTTCCCCTGCACGGCCGTGGGCCCTCGGGTGGTTCCCCTGCACACTTGTTTGAGAACCACGGCCCTAGAAGATGCTCAGGGGCTGTGGGCCAAGGACAAACTTGTGACTCTAAGGACACAGTAGGGCTGTCGTTAAGAAGAGGGAGAGCTGAGGGCCTTTTATGCTCCTGGGTTCTTGGCCCGCCCTTCCCCCTTGGCTTCTTTTGTTTCTCTTGGCCTTTTCCCTTTCAGACGTTTTTTTCATTTTTCCTTCCTCTCGGGCTGTAAGAGGGTCTCCTTTTCTGAAACAGGCAAATTCCTCCCCAGTTTAGAGCACTGAGGAGAGCCCCAGGGTGGAACCTGTTGCCTCCCCGTCAATTCCAACTCATAGCAACCCTATAGGGGACAGTAGAACTGTCCCCATAGGGTTTCCAAGGCTGTAATCTTTATGGAAGGAGACTGCCCTATCTTCCTCCCGCAGACTGGTTGGTGGGTTCCAACTGCTGACCTTTCATCAGTTAGTAGCTGAGCGCTTAACCACTGTGCCACCAGGGCTCCCTGGGGAGTGGTTTGAAGAAGAAGGACTTAAATGAGTCTTGGGTCTTGCCCAGTTCCCATGGATCCAAAGCTTTTTACTAATAAGCAGATTTGTGGGGGAGGAGGAAAAATGATTTTTGTTTTCTTTTGGCACAAAAACAGTCTACTTAGCCCAACAGTTTGTCTGTGTTTACCGCAGCCATCTTTGTGGCTTAAAGCAATGAGTTTGTGGCTGTCTGAACTTCACTAAGCAGTGATGATAATAATGGTTTTTTTTTTTTTTTTTTTGCCTTGTGAGAACTTCACATGAGCTGACTCTCCTCCACCCTCTCACCCACCATTAGCTGATTCCCTTATAATTTGCCTCTGGGCTGGACTTGTGGAAATGAACCCCATTCTCTCTACATCAGGTAAGGCTGGCTTCTGACACCAGCCCACCCGCATTCTTGTAGCAAACAGCCCTGAGGGATGTCAGCTCTGGCCCTTTACGAGCCTGGTGTGTAGCTGGCCACCGTACAGGTCGGGGACATCTGTGTTTGAGGAACTGTTTCCTAAAACAACTTTTTCGAAAGGTAATATGAGGAAGTGCTGAATAGACGTGGGGAGGGAGTAGGAGGAAATGCCTCAGTAGCTAAAACAAAAGGTTTCTCAAAGCCATTTCTGTCTTAACCACTAACCTAGTAATAAACCTAAGGGCCTTTTCTCTTTAGTATGAATCTTTGGGCTGCAGCCTTCCTTTTTTTTCTTTTTTTTTTTTATTCAGTACCCTCTTCCAGGCTGAGTCATCAGAATACCACACAGGCTGACAGCCTTTTAGGGTGTAAGGAGTGACTGTATTACTGTGTGAGTCATCTTGTATACAAATTATGCCTAGTTAGGCAAATGTCGTGGGGATGTGTACATTTTGCCTTAGCTCAATTTGTCGCACTTCTGGTACAGGTGAGATTTTCTTGCTCCCCAGCCTCTGAGGAAAATAAATGTTCGTTGAAGATTGGCTCTGCCTTGAATGAAAGACGTAGACCACACTGTAGCCAAATCACTCACTCTGGTACCCTAGACTAGTTTCTCCGTTCTCCTAATTACTCTCTCTGGAAGCTTTTTCTAACTGTGAAGTCTCAGCTTCCCTTCCCTGGACACATCCAACTCCTGCCCCGTGATGAGTCCAACCCATTCTCCTTGGTCTTCTTAGGTCTTCCTTTCCCCTTCCCAAGTCCCCTTATTTGGATCTCATTTAAACTTGCATTTAGAAAGTGCCAAAGATAACTCCTGCCTTTAGACCAAATATATGAAATTTCAGCCGTCTTAGAAAAATAAGAGCTTTGGAGTACTGTTAAATATGGAAATGATTTTATTCTCGTCTGAGGTAGAGGACAACGTGCATTCTTTTATTGAATTCTTTTTATAAGAGATTTTGGAAAATACTGTAACCACTGCCAGTATTTTGTAGTCACTGACTGGTTGAATAATTGAAAGAGAAAAAAGCTTTTCAGAAGCAGAAAGTCAATCACAGCAGAGTACACTGTTTTGCCCATATGTGTGGCTGTTGTCTTACGCTGTTTGTTATTTTCTTTCTTAGATTGCAAAGTGTAGAGTTCAAGTAGATGACCTTGAAGACGCAGAAAGCTGTGATATGAAGATTTGAAGCCCTTCCACATGCGAAGCCATGATTTAAATGCAGTATCAGCACTAACGTAAGTATTTTGGAAGGAAATATCACAGTTTTGTGGTTAATCCACTACTGGTTCTGCCTACATTCTGAGAAAATGTTAAAGTACATTTTGAAGGGTGATTTTGTTTAAATCACATCCAGTGAACCAGAGCTCTGTGAAAACTGCAGCTACTTGCGATGAAGTATGGGATAAAGCTGTGGGGGAGATGAGCCATTTTGATAGCTGGAAAAATCTTCGTTTTAACTCAGCAGCTATGTACCCCGTTGTGCTTACTTTAGGAGCTCTAGGAAAGGAAAGGGAAGCTTAATATTGAAGTTTTCTTTCTAAAACTGAGATGTAGCTATGCGAAAGCTTTCACGGACTCTAAGTTAGATTTTTCAAGGTAAGAGTAGAGCCAGCAATAGAAATTGGGGCCAGAAGTGTCTTTATGGGATACTTTCTGATCTAACTGCGACTTTGGGGCAGTATTTCTCAAAGTGTGTTCCGTGGAACACAGGTCCTTAAGCTATTAATGCAGTGTGTCCAGAGTGGAAAGATGGGTCTGTGATCAAATGAGTTTGGAAAACATTGGATTAAAGTTAAACAACCTTCCTTACAGAAGGATCTCAAAAAGCCTTGGCAAAACTAATTAGCCTTGTGACTCTCCATGCGCACGTGTAGTCAACAGTGCTTTCCAGAGTCCTATGGAACCCTTTTCTTGGGACCCATTTTCCATTTGCTCATTAAATATTTATTTAAGGCCTATTTTGGGCCAGCCATGCGTAATGTTAGCTGCTAAGACCATAGCAAGAAATGACATTGGTGATTCTTGTGTATAGATAGTAAATAAATTAACAAGTAAGTAAACAAGGTAATAACCGAGAGTCACAGTAACAAATATTTGAGAGAATGGTCTCTAGAGCCAGATGGCATGGGTTAAAATCCTAGGTCTGCCGTTTATAAACTGTATGACCTGGGAAAGACTCTTAACCTCTCTGTGTTTCCGTTTTTTCGTCTGTGAAATGGTGATAATAGTATCTACTTCACAAGCTTGTTACGAGGGTTAAAATGATGACTCTGTGTTGGTACATGCTAAGTCCTAGACAAGAGCCCTGGGGTGCAGTGGGTAAGTGTTACCAAAAGTTATAATTTTAATAATATTAGCTAAGTGCTTTGAAGGTTATGTGATTGACTGAGGAAGAGACGGGGGTGGATGGGAACTTTTGGGTAGGTTGGTGAGGCTGGCTCTGAAATAGAGACCTGTAAAGACGAGAAGCAGGAAGTGATGCAGAGAGTATAGGGATAGCTTCCAGACAGGGGGACAGCAAGTGCAAAAGGATACGTCTCGCACAGAAGAAGCGTTTGGCACAATTTAACACTGCTTCATCGTAAAAACACTCGATAGACTAGGACGAGAAGGGAACTTCTTCAGCCTGATGAAGGGCATCTACAGAGAGAGATTTATCTCAAGGAAATGGTTCACACAGTTGTGGAGGCTGGCCAGTCCCAAATCTGTGGGTCAGACATCAGGCTGGAAGCTTCTCCTGACTCATGTTGTCTTAGGGGCTGACGAACCCAAAACCTGCAGGTCGTAGGGCAGGCTGCTGGCTCACAGGGCTGCAGGAGCTGGTGAATTTCAAAATCTGCAGGTCAGACGGCAGGCTGCTGGCTCACATCTCAAGGAACCAGAAGTCAGAGAATGACCAGTGGAATGCAGGATCCAGCAAGGGCGAGCTTTGCCAGAACTGCCAGATATATTGGATGCAGGCCACACCCCCAAGGAGACTCCTGTTTCAACTGATGGGCTGCTCACGTCAGATCACAAAATGAAGGATGATCACAAAATATCTGCGAAACCACTGAGAATCATAGCCTAGCCAAGCTGACACATAACCTTAACCGTCACACACACTTTGGTGAAAATTGCTCTTGGATCCTCTCCTGCTTTGCTGAGAAACTGAACAGGTCTGGGTGGGTTTGAAAGCCATCTCTTCCCTTGGAGCCAGATCGTGTGTGTATGAATCCTACAGCAAGGGAGCCGCCAGCTTCTAGGCAAGGACGAGAGAGGGTGGTGTTAGGTGAACTTCAAAGAAGAGTGCCATTCTTTGCTTTGCTCTCTGATGGTTTTGATTTTGTTATTTTGATGAGGAGAACGCTAAGACAAGGATTTTACTATTGTGCTTTTGAAGTTTAGCTAGAACTGTTTGAAAATCTTCATCTGGAATCAGAATAACGGGAAAAGGTGTTTCATACTTTTAGATGCAACGGAAGTCTTTATAAAGCAGAATCCTGACTGTGCGTGCATTGTATCTCTTCAGACATTGGTGCGACCCAGTGTTTGGCCCACAGAGGTGATAGCGATTCCTGAAGTGCAGGAAAAAAAAGTAACTTTTTCAAAAGGCACGTACTCACAAACGCTTGAGGTAGATGCGTTTCCTAAACCTCAGAAGTACTTTGACTCTGGATCTAACCCATTAGCTTTAGTACATTCTTTCCTCATGAGTTTTTTTCCTATTTTAGATTATGTAGAAACAAAGCCCATTTGATGTTTTGTGCAAACCTCATGTTCTGAGCACATAACTCAAGACACACTTTGTGGATGAGTTCAAGCCGTGTTTGTTTTTTTCCTTTACAAGATGTGTGTGGGTGTGTGTGTGTGTGCGTGCGTGTTAGTGAGCCTGATTTTGTAAGTTGTATCTGAGTGCTTCTAGCTATTATTTCTGCCTTTTCTTATATGAAGTATAAACAGCCTACCATAAAATAATATTTTTAAAAATCTGATGTTTTCTGACTGACTTGGCATGAAATCAGAGAACATCCTTCCTTTCAAGCCCTGGTTAAAGGCTCCTCGTAAGGATTTTTCTTGTGTGTGTATGTGTGTGGATTTTGTTTTGTTTTATCATTATTTTTTATGTGGTTATTGTTTGGTTATGTTTTGTTGTACATGTGAGGGGTATGTATTGAGGATTTTGAGGAAAGAATCGTTTGGTATTACTTTCATTAAAACATTCTTATTCTGAAAGAAGCCCCAATTTATTTTAGAGCACATATCCACAGGATTTTTATATTTATTATTATTATAAGAAAATAATATTAGAAGTAGTATGTCCACTTGGTTAGAAGCTAGACTATCATCCATGAGGACATCTCTGGCTTAAAAGAAACCCTGATTTTGGAATCCTGGCTTTCAGGCTATCCCGTGTGCTAGGTTTAGGGCCTTTTACTAACTTCTGATCACAGGAGAAATACAGTGGTCGTCTGCGAGGAATCATTTGAACCTTGTCATGGATCGAATTGCGCCACCCCAAAATACGTGTCAACTTGGCCACGCCATGATTCCTAGTATTGTGTGGTTGTCCTCCATTTTGTGATCTGATGTAATTACATTCCATTTTATGATGTGTTGTAAATCCTAACCTCTATATATTAATGAGGCAAGATCAGTATGGGGTGTATCTTGAGTCACAGCCTTACAACAGGGTGTGACCTCACACCCTTACTTAAGTCACACCCTTACTTGAGTCACACCTTTTATCCCGGGGCCTACACAGTGGTTGTGTATATAGGGCAGGTTGACCTGCTCAAGGATCAGAAGAAGTACTTCAGCGTCAACCCCGACTACGAGCCTGAGGTGGGGGCAGTGCACCCTGGGGGCGACATGGTGGCCGTTGGGGGCATGGACAGGAATGTCCCCTTCTCCTCCATTCTGGGCTCCACGCTGAGGAACGAGGGCAAAGTCTTGGAGGCCAAGGGCCCCATGACACATCTGGCCTACTCCCAGGACAGGCCTTCCTCGCCGTGTGGGACGCCGGCAGAGTGGTCATGCTCTTCAGTGTGGCTAACAGCTATTTGGAGAACATTTTCTACAGACACCATGGGAAGATCATCTGTCTGGCCTGGTCCTGGGACAATGAGCACTTTGTCTCTGGCGGCATGGACGTGATGGTGTACATCTGGATCCTGAGTCACCCCGAGACCGGAGTCAAGATCCAAGACGCACACAGGCTACACCACGTCAGCAGCCTGGCCTGGCTGGATGAGCACACGCTGGTCACAACCTCCCATGACACCTCCGTCAAAGAGTGGACAGTCAACCTACAGAGGCCCCCCCCCCCTTGGCCTGACTGAATCGGGCACTAGAACTTCTCTGTAGCGGAACTTGTTCTTTCTCTCGGTGTTTCTATAATACACCCCGCCACCACTCTGCCTCACGGAGGAAGGCCGTAAGGAATGACAATCCTCATCTCTACAGAGTGTCCATGTCTGTACACGTCCTTCTGAAAGCTTTAGACAGTAACAGTTTGCACATGAAAAATAAAACGGACACTTAAAAAAAAAAGATATAAGAGATAAAAGGAGAGAGAGGTGAGCAGAGAGGGGAGGGGTCTCACTACCACCAAGAAAGAAGAAGCGGGAGCAGAGTGCATCCTTTGGACCTGCTCTGAGAACCCTCCATACCCAGGGAAGCTTGATGCCAAGACACGTGGAGATCTCCAGGGAACGCTGGGCCCACAGATGTTGAAAGGAGACAAGGACCTTCCCCCAGAACCAACACAGAGAGAAAGCCCTCCTCCAGAGCTCCCCACTGAGTTCGAGCCTCTAGCCTCCTGAACTGTGAGAGAATAAATTTCTGCTTGTGAAAGCTATCCACTTGTGGTGTTTCTGTTCCAGCAGCACTAGATAAGTAAGACATATCTCAACCTGTTATCTTGGCTAGATGGCTGTGCTAAAGGGCACTTGGAAAGGTACTTTTGATTTATTGGTTTAAAAGAACAAGAGAAAGTCAGTCATTGCAAAGACAACGGGTTTGGTCTGCTCTGCTCACAGCTGCCTCTTGAGAGAAGCCTGCCTCAAGAACTCATCGTGATTTGGATGGAACAAGGTCAGACTGCCGTGTCTTCTAATCGTTTTCAGAGAATTGGGCTATATTAAGCAGGTGTTGCTAACAACATTTCAGATCATTTTACGGAGGAGCACTGATTAGTTCTTGTCTGCTCGGGGTGAATCTGTGCAAATTACTTTGTTTCTCAAAAAAAAGTCTT